CTAGACAGAGGTTGAATTGGTGTTTGTGTGAAGGCTACAGGAGTCTCCAAGGTCGTCTCCTCAGCCCTGCCTAACGGTAAACCGGGGGATTATCCTAACGGAATTTTCAAGGTCGAACTTGTCACTCTGAATGAAAGATTAATGCCTATTTCATTATATTTATTTGTGTTTTAAAGAATTCCAGTGTTGTACCGCATCAAATCCTCTTCTTTTTTGTGGATAGATTAAGAGGTAGTGTGGTTGAGGGTGTTGGCTGGGGCAGGATGGTGTAGTTTAGGCGTTGGTGGGTGAGACAACAGACTGCAGCCACTGGACCAGACAGCTTGGTGCTGGTGGTATCTGGGTGGACGGACGGACAAACTGGGACCATCAACCTGGGAGAGACACTGTTCACCTTCCATGCTATTGGTTAACAAGAGAAACCAATAGAGTTTATAAGCCACACAAGACTTAGTACACATAAGGAGTAGGTCTTAGGAATTTATGGACTTAAATTAACCCCCAAAGTAACTGTGTTCTAATTCACGGCTATTGCTGCGTATAAAACCCTAACAGTGTGTAGAAGAAAGTGTCTAGACTGTGGTGTTACTGTACAAATTTCAAGGTTATTTGTGACTTAGATGGTGGCTGTTGAGTCGGTTGATGCGTTACTTTTGGTTCAGTGTGGGAGGAGGACATAGATCACGTAAGAATGTTTTTTTTGTGTGTGCGTGTGTGAGAATTCATCTTTTTTATCACTCACGAATTTCATTATATATATATATATATATATATATACATACACACACCCCTTTATCATCTGCGACCCTTTGCATAACTGGTTGGCCTGTAGGTTGACTGATTAATTGACTGACTGACTGACTGATAGATTAGTTGACTGGTAGGTTGACTTACTGGTGGACGGAATGACTGGTAAGCTGACTGGCTGTTTGGTAGATTAGATGACTAGTAGGCTGACTTACTGACAGATTCAATAACTGGTAGGCTGACTTACTGGTTGATTCAATAACTGGTAGGTTGACTTACTGGTAGATTCAATAACTGGTAGGCTGACTTACTGGTAGATTCAGTAACTGGTAGGCTGACTTACTGGTAGATTCAATAACTGGTAGGTTGACTTACTGGTAGATTCAATAACTGGTAGGCTGACTTACTGGTAGATTCAATAACTGGTAGGCAGACTTACTGGTAGATTCAGTAACTGGTAGGCTGACTTACTGGTAGATTCAGTAACTGGTAGGCTGACTTACTGGTAGATTCAATAACTGGAAGGCTGACTTACTGGTAGATTCAATAACTGGTAGGCTGACTTACTGGTAGATTCAGTAACTGGTAGGTTGACTTACTGGTAGATTCAATAACTGGTAGGCTGACTTACTGGTGGATTCAATAACTGGTAGGTTGACTTACTGGTGGATTCAGTAACTGGAAGGCTGACTTACTGGTAGATTCAATAACTGGAAGGCTGACTTACTGGTAGATTCAATAACTGGTAGGTTGACTTACTGGTGGATTCAGTAACTGGAAGGCTGACTTACTGGTAGATTCAATAACTGGAAGGCTGACTTACTGGTAGATTCAGTAACTGGAAGGCTGACTTACTGGTAGATTCAATAACTGGTAGGTTGACTTACACTGGTAGGTCCAATAACTGGAAGGCTGACTTACTGGTAGATTCAATAACTGGAAGTCTGACTTACTGATAGGTCAATAACTGGAAGGCTGACTTACTGGTAGATTCAATAACTGGTAGGCTGACTTACTGGTGGGTCAATAACTGGAAGAGCTGACTTACTGGTGATTCCAGCTAACTGGTGAGGCTGGCTTACTGGCAGATTCAATAACTGGTAGGCTGACTTGCTGGTAGATTCAATAACTGAAAGGTAGGTTGACTTACTGGTAGATTCGGTAACTGGTAGGCTGACTTACTGGTAGATTCAATAACTGGTAGGTTGACTTACTGGTAGATTCAATAACTGGTAGGTTGTCTTACTGGTAGATTCAATAACTGGTAGGTTGACTTACTGGTAGATTCAATAACTGGTAGGCTGACTTACTGGTAGATTCAATAACTGGTAGGTTGAGTTAATGGTAGATTCAATAACTGGTAGGTTGACTTACTGGTAGATTCAATAACTGGTAGGTTGAGTTAATGGTAGATTCAATAACTGGTAGGTTGAGTTAATGGTAGATTCAATAACTGGTAGGTTGACTTACTGGTAGATTCAATAACTGGTAGGTTGAGTTAATGGTAGATTCAATAACTGGTAGGTTGACTTACTGGTAGATTCAATAACTGGTAGGTTGAGTTAATGGTAGATTGAATGACTGGTAGGTTGACTTACTGGTTGGCTGGATCTCGAGAGACGTAGAGCGAGGGGCGACCTGATAGAGGTGTATAAGTGGAAGGCAGGGCTAAACAAAGGGGACATTACAAAGGTACTCAAACTATCCAACCAGGAGCGAACTCGTAACGATGGTTTTAAATTAGACAAATTTAGATTTAGGCGTGAAATAGGTAAACACTGGTTTGGAAACAGAGTAGTGGATGAATGGAACAAGTTACCAAATATCATCATTAACTCGAATACGCTGAATAGCTTCAAACATAGGTTGGATGCTTATATGAGCAATAGGGGTTGGGTGTAAACGGGACTGCCCAGTATGGGCCAATAGGCCCGCTGCAGTTTCCTCCATTCTTATGTTCTTATGTACTAGCTGACTGGTAAGCTGATAGTCTTGACTGGGTCAGGCGGTACACGTGAAGTAGGTGTGTACCACAGGTAGGTCCTCTTAATGATATACCGGACATACAGTAAGGGTGATATTACCTGTACACGTTAGGAGGAAGGTCAGGGTCACATACACACACACACTGTACATATCCATATAAGATGGTTTTATTACTCAATTCATGTCACTGCTAGTTCCCAGTTAAATACTAGTAATAACAATAACAACAATAATAAGATCACTAAAAACAATAAATACGAAACGAGAGGGAGAGAGAGAGAGAGCGATTTTAGGCCCAAGTTTTCCGAATTTCTTTTATTCGGTAGAGGACATTCGGGTGGACCCATGGAGGACCTGGCCGAAGTGGCTATTGTGGTGCTTATGGCGGTTGGGAGGAGGAGGCGGGGGGATGAGGTAGGGAGAGTAGGGGATTAGGTAGGGAGAGGAGGAGGGGGAGTTGAGGCAGGGAGAGAAAGATGGGGAAACAAGGAGAGGAGGGGGTGAGGTAGGGAGAGAAAGTGGGGGTGGGGGAGGGGGTGAGGCAGGAAGAGAAAAATGGGGTGAGGTGTGGGAGAAACAGGGTGAGGAATGGAGAGAAAGAAGGTGAAGAGAGGGAGGAAGGGAGGGTAAGAGAGCTAGGGTGAAGGGAAGGGGTGTAGGCTGATGTGTATCACGCTCTTCATAAAAAAAAGTAAATTACAGTTGTAGTTGATATAATTAGATAATTTACCTGTTCTTCGACTCAAAAAAAGAATAATGTTGGACACACTACCTGAGTTTCGTGGTCGCCCCGCTAGAGGGCAACACACACAACCTGAGTGACCTTCCTTCTTAGCAAGGTCAGGTCAAGAGTGTAGGGGGAGGAACAAAGGGACTTAGGGGTTGCTATATCTCTCTTTTTACATGAGACAACAAGAATGGGTTGTCAAGTCTCCTTAAAACGAAGGGTTAAGGGGGGAGGGGGTGAGAGCTGGATTTGACGCACACGGGTCTTGGAGGCACAACAGGTTACGGGTTTTGGGGTAACCCTAGAAGACGTGGAGGTGGGTGGTGGTGGTGCTGCTGCTGTAGGGATGATTGTACGACGCAGCTTAAGGTGTTTGTTGCCTGGTTGTTTAAATCTTGTTTAGTTGATGATAAGCCATCCATAAAACACACACACACACACACACTATCGCATTTAAGAATTTTTGTTAATTGAACAAGGATGAATGTCACCTTACTAATTAGAAACTCTTTGCTCCTAATGGTTATGTTAATTTGGGGTCTAGTGGGACGTGGGACCCAATTACCAGGTGCCGATGCTCTCTTGTCAGCCACGGACAGGTACACGGGCCAAGGGGTGTGACAGGTGTGTTGCCCAGGTGTTCACAGGTGATCAGCTGTGTTGGTAACGTATGTGGTGACTCACCTGGTTGTGTTGACGTTGATCAGTTGTGGTAAGGGTGGTGTAGTGGGCTTCTGAAAGGAATTGGGTAGTTTAGTAATTAGGGGGTATGGTATGAATATTCCTAAGTGAAGCTACGACGTAACTCGGCCCTCCGTTCTCTCTCATCCCGTATGGGCGGCGTCTTAGTGTACCAGCCCATCCTAGGTGAGGTATGTGGGCGTGGTATGGGCGTCACCTAGCAACGTGTACGTGACTATGATCCTTGAGTGGGTGGTGGTGGCGGCGGCGGCGGCATTTTGTCTCCTAGCTGGTGTTCATGCTTAAAGCTTTATTATACAGAGGAAAACTTTTATTCTCGTCACTAAAATACTGCGTTTATTCTTCATTAAAAAAGGTGTGTGGGGGGGTGGGAGGGAGGACACGTTCACTGTTCATAATGAGAGAAGGGGCGTGTATAAGTTGTATTAAAAAATATATATTTATTTGTTTTAGAGAGAGAGAGAGAGAGAGAGAGAGAGAGAGACGTGTGATAGGTAGCAGGGGCTTGAGAGAGTGTATGAAAGACAGCATTAAATATCACGGAAGCAGACCATAGTGGCGCCGGAGCTCCTTGCTTTACGTAAAACCCCTCCCGCTGGTGTACACACACACACGCAGAACAGGTTCACATCTGACTCACCCTTCCCCTTGGTGTTGTGAATGAGTGTGTGATAGTTGAGCTCTGAATGTGAGTAATGTAGTCACCTGAAAATTAAGATTATTTTTTGAAATATCTAAATTAGTATAATGAGCTGTTTAATTTGTCTTGTAAAATATATATATAATTTTGAGGTTATGATTTGTAATATACTTCATGAATGTTTTCTTTCTCTGACAGAAACTTAAAAGCTGCTAGTCATATCATCGCGAGAGTTGCACCCCACAGTCCTCAAGTTTACCAACACGCCCCCCGAAGGTGGCTCTTCTCAACCCCTGCCAACACCGTCATCGCCTCCTCCATACATGGCCTGCTGCTGTATACCGCTATATATATGTGCAGTATACCGTTCTAGGGCTTCTATGTACCGTCAAGGGACCTCCATGTACCCTCAAGGGCCCTCAATGTACCCGCTCAGAGCTTCCAGGTACAGCCCAGGTACCTCCATATATCCTTGAAGACTTAGCGTACCGTACGCCCACGCCTTCTATGTATCCTTCCAGGACTCTGCCTACCGCTCGGAGGTCACACACTTACCTCCCACCAAGGCCTCCAGGTGTGGTTCAGGCTCTTCTGTACATTGCAGTGAGAACGTGGGTTACGTTGGGTCCTTCCAGATACTAAAGACAGCCGCAGCCGAGCACTCACGTGGCCCCCTGAAGGAGGGAGTAAGTGCTGGGGGCCACAAGTCTTCCTGGTAATGATGTTTTGGTGAGGTAATGATCGCAGATAGTTGTAGTGGTGGACGGGAACAGTGTAAGGGATGCTGGTCTTGAGGTTACTCATACCTGCCTACACAATCAGGCTTTACAAAACTGAAAAGCAACAGTAATTAATATAAAATGGACTTAATGACGATGAAATTGATCTTATTTATTTAAAAAAAGTGAAATAATTTTTTAAAAGCTGGTCTTGTTACGTTTAGTGAAAGTACAGTAATCAATTAACGACAAGTGTTACAATAGAAGAGTAATAGAGATATTACCTGATATAAATTTATCTGTGATAGAGTACACTGACAGTTGTGTACTGATGTGATTACCAGAGTTGCTCAGGTGAGTTATGGGCAGCTCACCTGAGGAACAGAGGGGCGGCAACCTGTCTTGTGAGTGATGATGTAACAAGTGACTATGTATGAACTAGATATAGGGTGCGAGCTAACATTATTTTGGTTTCTTATATAAAAAAGCTTACATTTTGTGTTTTATGTAAATAAAAAGTGCAATATGTATGTAAGGCTTCTTCTTACAGCACTCCGTGCCAGGGCAGGTGTCTGGGGTCCACCTCAACACCTGTCACACGTGAATTATCCTGTGTGATCAATCTCATCTTCTTGTTTACATTCTGATGATGTCTAGCTGGTACTGTCAACGTGATATGTCTGACGAAGTAGTCAATCCCCACAGACAGGTAGCGAGCACACTGATGGTTGCACAAGAATTTAAGATTGTGATAAGGCAGGAGTCTGGCATAGTGAGACTGTGACTTCACATTCTGAGGTGAAGTAATACCTTGAGTGAAGGTGGCACAACGTAGATCATTTCTCACCTGTTGACTATAATGTGAATGGGAATCTCTTTTTCTTTACTATTTGTCAGCTTAGTTGAAATGTTACAGTAAGTGGTACAAATATTATTATGTACTTGGTATTGATTAACCGTATACCGGGTAGAGGCGGGGTATCACTTGTATTGCCTTAGGTCAGCTAGCATGATTTTCATTTAATTAGGGACTTCAGTTGTCTGGTAGCCACATGTTAAGAAACTTGAGTTCCTGGGAGTGAGATGCCTTCTGTAGCTACAAGGAGAAGTTACATTTACAGTCACTTGTACACGATAAATGCATTTTTTCCTTGTGGACGAATTTTAATGTAAGACGATGTATCTTTCGTCTCTATCAGGATAAAGTGCATTCCTGACTATCTGTCTCTTGGTGATGGAAGATAAGGTATTTTATCCTGATGAGGGAAGATCACCACTGACCTGTGTTATTGATGTACGAGTGTGGGTTCACAGGTTGTTAGTAGTTGTGAGGTAAATGGTACCTCTCAGTGTTACACCCGCGGCAGCTGGTCGGGAGTGTACACACCTCTTGGCCTCGTGTGTGTGTGTGTGTGTGGTGAGGGAGCTGGGCAGGTGCACTTAGGACCTCTTGAGGTGGAAGTTAAGCTTCACCTGTGCCACAAGGGAGCTTTAAACATGTAAGTGTGTGATGAGGGTGTTGGTGTACTGTGGGCCCACCAGTTCTGTATGGCAATGTGCCAATATGTATTAAGGTTTAATACAGAGCAGGTTGGGCCCCATGACAGGGAAGGTCAGCACTATATATATATATATATATATATATATAAACTAGAGGTGTGCACTACTGCAATTTTCGTGCCCCATCACTATTCAGTGTATATATAATCAATCTCTCTCTTTCTCTCTCTCTCTCTCTCTCTCTCTCTATATATATATATATACAATTTATATAAATATATATATATTTCTACTTCAATGTTGTCTACCAGTAGTGATGTGTAACTCCCTGCACAAGGAGTAATTCACCTGGGGAAGATAGACTTTAGTTCACACAGTTGTTACCTCAGATAACAGGACATTGTGCCCACCTTATAGTAGTTGTATACCACACTATGTTACCACGAAACTACTGTACTGTACTAGCGTGACGTCACCAACAACAACAGGCAGATGATACTATATAGGCAGAGTAGAAGGCGACCACCATGTTGTCTAGTCCTTCAAGTGTTAGGTGTGGTAGTGTATGAAGGTCAGTGATGATATATTATAAATGAGTTTGTTTCCGCTGTGTCCGTTTAGTGCCGTACGGGTAAACACACGCACAACCCGTCATTTAAGAACAGTTATTGTCTAGCAGCGACTTAAGTCAAATACAGTAACTCAGAACGAAGACTTTAACGCAGACTCGACCTCCTCCAAGCACCGAGTGTCCAATAGTGTTCTAGAAGTGTCGTGATGGTAAGAGTATTGATAGGACTCGAGAAGGGTAGGTAATAGGGCGCAACATATCTCTATGTACACAAGAGCCCAGGGGAGTGAATATTATCGTCATAGGAAGAGATGGTTGTGATGGTGAGCGCGGCGCAGCAACATGATAGCTTACAGTACATTCTCTCTCGCTAAAGTGATGGTATGTCTGGGAGGGGTCGTGTCTACACAGCTCAACAAGGAACGGGAAATATTAACGACCTGTGATGTTACACGACCCTCAGTGGATAGCTCGCGCGCTTAAAAGGATGTCTTCGGGTAGGATATAATTATTAAGTTCAGGTTTTGAGAGAGTTTCGATAATCATGTGGTGTGTTACGAAGGTGCCTGGGAGAGGAGAGGTCATGTAGGTTACGGTCATCGGGTGTGTTTGGGTGTATATATATATATGTGTGTGTGTGTGTTAAGAGTGACAAACAGCAGGAAGATAAAAACAAAAATAGTGTATTCGGCGCCTAATAATATCAATCTGTCTGTTCGTTTGTTGTTGCTCGCTAGGGTTGTGTGTGTGTAACTTTATCTAGAGGGAAAAGATTCAATATCCTTCCTCACCATTATGTTTTCCCTACCTTTCAAAATTGATCGTTTATTTGCTCAAGTTAAACCCAGAGTTCCTTTGGTGAATGTGTCTATGCTTATACAGATTGATGATGATGAAACCGTATCAATCATCTCGTTAGTATGATAGACGTTGATGACTTGAAACAGAACCTTAAACTTCTTAAACCTTCACTTGTTTTAGCCCAACGAGAGTAAATGTGAACCTCTGAACCTTCTAAACCCCCTACGTGTGAGGTTCTATGTTCAAGTTATGTTCTACTTTACTAATGAGATTATCACCTACAGCCTTAATGAACCTGCTGGTCCATATAATCTTAACCCCTCTACCGTCTTCATTAAAACATCTGAACCACTGTTATGGTTACTATTATTAAATGTGTTTTAGCATTTTTCTTTTAAATCATTTATACCATTTCTTAGCTGCAAATATCTACTGTATATGTATTATATCAGGAGAGTAGCCGCCATGGACCAAAGTATTTTTAATATTCGTACGTGGTAGTTATGTACGTGTCCATGGCAGCTGTTGTCCCCTACTCCTCACTGGCCTTTACTTCTGGTTGTGTTGATTTTTTATATAGTAGTCTGGGAGAACGTCAGGTAATAATGTTCTCGCTGATCCATAACTTGTATGTAGTATATGAAGAAAAAAAAATGATTAAAAAAAAAACCCACAAAAGATGATCATGATACAGTCTTTAGCCATGGAACAGATTGTAGTTATTTTATATTGCACGATATTTTATGAATTATTATTATTATTTTTTTGCAAACCACCAATAAACACACTACTGTGCCTATTTGTGTGATTAATTTAAAAATGTATGGGTCATTTATCCACCCACTACCACACCCCCCTACCTCTCTTATCCTCCCCCCCCCCCTTCTTAATAAACACTCAATATATACATATATGTTGAACATATACAACCCTGCTCTTGTGTATATTACCTGCTGGTAGTGAATTACAGGTAACACACTAGATCCTACCTCCCTCCTTCCCTGCCTACTTCTCGTCCTGCCTTCCCTGCTTACTCCTCCTCTTCCTTCCTTCACTCCCTCCCAACTTCCTTCTACCCCATGTTGCTGGTGTGGCAAGTGTTGATGTTGACAATAGAGAGAAACAACTGTTAGCTGATTGGCTGGTCATTCCTTGGTTACATAAACAATCATGTGATTGGACAGAAGGAAAAGAAAAAATGGAAAGATAGCCAATCAGATTGCAGTGTTGTTGGCTCCCAGGAACCCAAATACTCGCTGATTGGCTTCTCATTCTTGTGCTATATGAATGATTATGTGAAGAATGTGCCAAATATGAGAGAAATGAAAAGATTGATAGCCTGTCAGAAGGAGGTTTGGTTGTATGTAGTGGTGGTTGACCAAACGTAAATACTATCCACCACATTATTCAACAAAACTAATAATCTGATTGGCACTTTCCAGCTCCAATGAAAACATAGTCACTAATGGAAAAAACAGCCAATGAGAATTCAGTTTTAATGCTGTTTTTCGGTAGCCTTATAGACGCTCTGGCTAGCCTTAGTATCAAGTCATTACAAACGCAACAGCGGACTTGCATTTTGAAACGCCCAAAGTTACCACAAACACTGAATGCATTACTGCAGATTAAGTCCCCCTCTGTTTATATTCTTAACTGATAAACCCGTAAAACATGTCTACCGAATGTGGTCCAGCTTGGTGTACTATACGTGTGATAAGCCAATCAAAATACCATTAAGTGTGCAATTCTAGCTTTTGATTGGTTCATCATCTCACTTTCCCCCCACCCCCCATCCCCTCCCCCTCTCACACTCGAGAACTCGTAGGAAACTGAACGTAAACAAAGCCCGGACCAATCAGAAGATGTATTGGACTTGAACTCGACTTGTGATTGGTCCATTGTGTTGAAGAGGGAGAGCTGTGTTGAGCTTCCAGATGTGAATGATGGTAATGTCTCGGATGTTTCATAAAAGCCTTGTTCTTTTTCTTAAATAAATAGTTTCTAATACCTGATTTTTTATTCACTTCAAAATTAGAATACGGCTGAAAAAAGCAGGATTACTGATCATCATATTAGTACATTTAAACACTTAACTGATACAATGTTGTAAGTAGAATTTAAGTACTAATATGATGATCATCTCTACTTTAATGTATTACAGGATAAGGTGAGTTAGGATTCTCATTTATTACACAACATTAGTAAGAGTTAGGGAGGGATATGAACAGAGTATCTCGGTGTTGTTTTGTCCCAGAACAGTGATGCAGACAGACACAGACACAGGTAAATACAGAGGTAGACACAAATATATACAGTAACTAGACACAGACAGGTAGACAAACAGGTAAATACAGGGGTAGACACAAATATATACAGTAACTAGACACAGACAGGCAGACGCTATGTAAGAGCGTCACCACCCGTGTCCCTTCCACAAGACTCCTGAAATATATACAACTGCTTCACAACTCTTAATGTCAGAGGATTCCAACTTGGTGATTCAGGTGGACACACACACACACACACGGAGAGGAAGGGGAGGTTATCTACAAGAGCAGGCGTTTCTCCTCTACCCCTTATGCTGGAGATAACCATGGCAACATATTCTCTAGAGAGGAGGTAGGTGGGTGTATCAGCAGCTCTGCCATGTTACCCCACATCCCCTCCTGTCACACCTCCCTTCACTGTCACACCCTCCCTTCACTGTCACACCTCCCTTCACTGTCACACCCCCCCCCCCATCGAACATCCCCTCCGTCACATCTTCCCTTTCCTGTCACACCCTCTCCTCCCTGTCACACCTCCCCTACCTGTCACACCTCCCCTCCTGTCACACCTCCCCTCCTATCACACCCTCCCTTTCCTGTCACACCCTCCCTTTCCTGTCACACCCTCTCCTCCTATCACACCCTCCCTCCTATCACACCCTTCCCTCCTGTCACATCTTTCCTTCCTGTCACACCCTCCCTCCCTGTTACACCTCCTCCTATCACACCCACCCCTCCTGCCACATCCTTCCCTGTTACATACCCCTCCTGCCACATCATCTCCCTGCCACACCCCTCCCTGTCACACCCTCCCTCCTGTCGCATCTTCCCTCCTGTCACACCCTTCCTCCTGTCACCCTCCTCTCCTATCACACGCTTACCCTCCTGTCACACCCTACCCTCCCTGTCATCCTCCCCTTCTGTCACACCTCCGCCCCTGTCACATCTTCTCCTCCTTGTCACACCCTCCCCTCCCTGTCACACCCCCCTCCTATCACACCTCCCCTCCCTGTCACACCCTTCCATCCCTGTCACACCCTTCCCTCCTGTCACACCCTCCTCTCCTGTCACACCCTCCTCTCCTTGTCACACCTCCCCTCCTTGTCACAGCCACTCCTTGTCACAATTTACCCTCCGTCACAGCCAGCCAAGTAAGCCAGCAAGCAAAGCAAGTCAAGTCAGCCAGCCAGCCAAGCCAGCCTGTCTGTCTCAATATGTATTCAAAAGAGTAATCTATATACTTGAAACATCTATTAATTATTAAAACATCTGTTGTGTTCATACTAATCTGTTCGTCTACAGTAAAATAATATTGTGCAGAGGAGGAGGAGGGAAGGGGGGGGGGTAAGGTATGGAGAGTGAAGGGAAGAGGTGGAGATGTGGATAACGGGAGAAGACGAAGAGAAAGTAAGAGAGGAATAAGACTCAACAGAATTACCAAACCAGAACGAGAGAAGTAAGAACTAAGAAGATAATAACTGTGAGCGAACAGTAATGGTTGATAAGAGATGATAATGGTGGTGATAATACAACTAACGAAAAATATCATTACAATTAATCCTGTTATATTTTATTTATCAACATGCACACCATCTCACCTGCCTACAAATTACCACATCAGTACTACACACTAAACCAGATACAGGAGCCACACCTTGGTTCACTCTTGCTACCCGAAGTCTTCCTTTATGGTACAAACTTCTCAACACCAATACACCTTTTCACATATCCGTTGAGACATTGTTACATAACCATTTGACAAATTTTATAACCGAATGACAGAACACACATCGAATGGCAATCTAAAATAACTGTTGGTGGTATGTCATTCTCCAAGTGTTACATTCTCAAACTATATGGAGACCGTCGGTTTATTGTTCACGTCTGTCAACTTCATAACTTATGTCAATCACTTCCGTTAGCATGAACGAACAGTTATTTTAGATTGTTATTCGATGTGTGTTCTGTCATTCGGTTATGAAATTTGTCAAATAGTTATATAACAATGTCTCAACGGATATGTGAAAAGGTGTATTATCCCAATTCTCAGCGTAGTTAGGACTCACACCTCACAGACACACACACCTGGAAGAGAAGAACTGCTATACTTAATGTCAGGTGAGGAGACTTGAGGTTAATCCTACGCCTTCAGGTTGGGTCTTGACACTCGGCAACAGTGCAACTTGCTACATTCAACATGAAGTATAGGAAGCGAGAGACAGACACCACCTGATTTTGGCACCTGTTGAATGGAGAGTCCCGCCCAACCTCGGTAATACGAACCTGTTGATTGACCGTTGGATTCCCCACCGCACTAGGACTGACCCCTTTAGAAAGCCAATATAAAGGAGCCTAAGAGGTGGTCATTGAAAGGGTGGTGGGTCCGGGTAAGAGGTGGTAATGGGTTAGAGGGAGGACGGGGTGGTATGGGAGTACGGGTGGTGGCGTGACCGGAGTCTGGCGCCACACAGTCGGCCCCATTACTTGTAGCAGCTCTGAGAAAGTTTAGGGAGTGTAGGACCGGCTAGGGCAGTGGTTCTCAACCTTTTTCACTCCATACCCCCCTTGAGGAATTTTCAACATCCTCGTGGCCTCCTTCATTTTTCTCCCAAACCCTCCACAAATAATGTTGAAAAATAAAATGCAGATGAAGAGAAAATACCCTTATTTTATTTCAAGGTTGACAATCATCATTATCTTATATTTTGAGAGACTTACATGATTTACATAACTGACGTCACTAGACCAGAGTGACTACTAGACAAGCCTCACAGCAAACTTGAATTTGGTTGGGAAAAAGTGCATATGACCTCTGCATTAGCACCAGAGTATGTAAATATTAAAATTGTATTGTCGTTATGATTAAACAAAATGACAAAAAAAATCTCTTCTGCCAAGTCAAAATAAGTAATACAAGTTTTGTTTAATTCAGATTCCCAACATTATTTGGAAACGAACAATTTATAACAGCTCGCCGTGGCTCCCTTGGGGGCCATGGCCCCCAGGTTGAGAACCACTGGGCTAGGGGGGAAGGGTTAAGGGGATAAGCAGAGGGAGGAGTTAAGGGATAGAGAAAGGAAGGGGTAGTTAGGGGGGGGGGTGACAGAGAAGGGTTAGAGTAAGAGTCTCAAGTGTAATTCAAATGCCATATTGAAAAGTTGTTTACAAGTCTTACAATAAGTCAACCATTTAAGGCACAATCTTACATCTTCACTACTCACACGAAGGAATATTGATGGTAGGAGCCTTTTGAGACACTGGCCTCCGGGTGTGAGAAGTAGAGAGGCCAGCTTGGTGTCACTGACCTTCCCGTTACTTCGCGGAGTAACCTCGAGGTCACCCAGGCTGGCGTTCACTTGTGTAGGAGTCCTTCATACACCCTTTACCCATTACCTACTTGTTGCCCCATCAAGTGTGTGTGTGTGTGGTCAGCAGGTGCATGGGACCCACTTTCACATCCCCTTTATAGTGTACTGTACATTCCTTTCTCCTCCTCCTCCATTACCTCCTCCGCCCTCCCCCTCCACCTCTACGCTTGTTGATGTTGACTTGATGGAGCAAAAGTAAGCGAGAAATTATTGTTATTAGTCAGGTTTTTATGATTCCTTCCTTCCGCCCTCTCCTCCTCTTTACCTTTCATTCATTTATTCTCCCTTTCGTCCATTTTTCTTCCTTTCGTCCATTTTTCCCCCTCTTCATGACTTCATTTCTCCTGATACCTTCCTCCATGGCCTGACCTGAACCGACCCGACCCTCATCTTTTAATCAGTGGACTCTTCGCCCTCTCTGCCTCTTCCTCCTCCTCCCTCTCTTCCTCCCCCCTTCTCCCATCCTTCGTGACTGGACTTAAACTCGTAATCCTCTCCCCCCTCTCTCCCTGACACAGTTAAGTTAGGTCAGTTCAGGTCAGGTTGGGTCACGTCCATCAGTGCCTCTGTTTGGTGATGTCAATTCTCCTTGTTAAGTACCATGAATATTTACCTTGCATGTGCGTGTGTACCTTCACTACACTGCTCACTAGAATTAAGGTTCCTACTTATGATCCTTACTCCTAAATCTTTCTCACAGTTGTATTTCACTTCGTTCCTCACCTTACAACTTTATAATTTTTCATCATTAAATTGTATCTTCCATTTTTCGGTGCTCTTGTCAGAATTAATTGCAAGTCTGGTCAAAATATTTATTTATATTCTTGCCAACGCCTATATTTATGTCGTTAATGTGTATAATAAATAGTAATGGTCCAAGTAGTGAGCCTTGGGGTATACCGCTAGTGACGTTACTCCAGTCAGATTTTGTGTCATTAATGCTGATTCTGTTTCCTTCCACTTTTGAACCAGGTGGCACCCTTGAGCACTGGTCTTGTGGTACCCGGAGAAGGAGGGGGAGGAGGATGAGAACGAGGATGAAGAGGAGGAGCGGGAGGGCGAGGAGGAGCGGGAAGAGGAAGAGGAGTTTTTAGTTTAACAAATTTATTGGCAAAGCTTGGAGTACAGTTTGCCTATTCTGAATAATTCCGTCAGGTCTTGACACTGAGGGTGGTATCACTTCTCACTGCCACGCAGGACAGAGGTTCATACACAAAGGAATAGATCTTATTCATTAACAGTGTATTTAGGTCAGATTCATGTGGGTTGATGTCGCTGTTCACTGCCATGCAGGACGAGGGAGAGGGGAGTAGGACGAGGAGGAGAGATAGGACGAAGAGGGCGAGGAGGAAGAGGTGGGAAGGAATGAAGG